TTTATCCTTACCTTACTAATATACTGTATATAATGTATCCCAAACACCAACACTAACTTTTAGAGATGTGTTATTTGTATGAGCTGCAGGAGAAATAGGTATTCACAATCTTCAGAAGAGATTTGAAATGCAGTGTTTAATAACCTGCCAGTCAGAAAGAAGTGAGTTTAAAATTCACTGTTAGACTGTTTTAAGCTTTCCATCTATCCACTATGAGAAAGGTGCTTATTTATGGCAAAAGCTGTGGCAACCCTGACCTATCCCACATGCTGAGAGTATAAAGTGAGACTACTGTACTCTATATCATCTATGAAATGCCAGTTTACAGGCCTACACACACACACAATTTGTAGACATCACCTAACCTAAATAAAGTGTCTTTGGTTGGTAGAAGGAAAGCAGAGAGGCTTAAATAAAACAGACATACAGAAAATATATCAACTGTGTACAGAAGGAGTCCTAGGCTGGGATTGAACCTTAGACCAAAAACCTAGAAAGTAGCAGTGCTAACCACTGCACCATCATGCCAACCCTTTTTAAGGGATTGATTTTTATGCAATTTTAATAGTGTTATTCCATGAGGAGGAGAATTGCAACAAACACAGCACTAAACAGCAAATGAAACAGACACAAACAGAGTAATATACCGTATGGCAGCATGGTCTTTTGCATTGTGGAAGCTTATTATTTGTACCATTGATGCGGAAGTACTGTGGCAAACATGAACACTTCCATAATATGTAACAGTGAGCTTTGTGACTCTTTTACATTAGTTACATCCTAATGCTCATCAAGATCTTAATAAATCAGACCTCCCTGTCTCTCTCTAATGAGCTACAGCTGTTGTCATTACTGAGCAACCGTGAAGGAAATGCAGAACAGGGCTGGACAGAGCAGCTCTGTTAGGTATAGTACAAGGGCAATCGCAGAGAGTTCAAGCACGAGCCAACGATTCACATTCCTAATTTGGTGTCACAAGAATTGCCTTGAAAATATGCGACTATATGGCTGTATTCATTACAGAGAAGTCAAGGACAATCCTCAGGCCGTACAATTGGTCCATTTGTAGTTATTCTGAGACAGCTGGAAACGAATGGGCTTGTAAAGCCGAGAAGGTCGAGAGGATCTTCTACAGCTGAGCATGTGAGGTGAGCAGCCTCGCGTGCTGGCAGTTACAGCTGTTCATCAGGTCTCTCCCAGTGAGTGACACTGACATAGCAGGCACTATATCACACGTCCTGTAGCACCAGACCTCTCCGGGGCCATGTTAGAACTGAGATACTGGAATTTAAGGGCATAAGAGAGGCAATAAATGAGATCACACCAAGCTGCTTCAGGATAGGTCTAGGGACTCAACTTCACATAACCCACATTATGCCCGAGCAAGTCCTTCTGTTTTTAAGCTTTTTCCAGGGCATCAAAGATTTCTTTCTAATGTACTGACCACAGCTGTACTCATATTAGAAATGAGGTCTGATTAGTACATTGCATAATTTTAACCTAACATTGCTTAATGTAATTCTTCACTCTTCATTATACTGTATATCTTAGCATTTGGTTGGCTACAAATAGAAAACATACCAAAGTACAGTCTATAGCTATGAGGTCTTCTGTCATAGTATGCATTTCAATACCTGTAAACCTAGCTGTGTTAAATGCAATAGCAAAAATCTCAAATTTAATTGGAACTCTTACCACAGATCAGAGGACAGATCGTAATTGCTGAAATAAATATGGGAGAAACTTCAAGACAAAAGAGGGGAGGCAATAGCATCCATCTTGCTGTTTAGATTGTTTAGAACCAAATTGATTCCGGACTGTTATCCACCCAGTCCTTAAAGGATACCAGGGAGTCAGCTTCTGCGACATGGGTGATCGTTATTCGTTGCAGAAAGCGTTCCAGTTTTTCCAAGCCTTTCAAGATTTCCTTTCACACTGGTTGAATCAGGTTAAAAAAAATCATTTCAGAGCTCAAATCCATTTAATTTCAAAATTAGTTACATTTATTGTTTTGCTGCTTTCGCCACATAATGCACCACAAAAAGTGTGTCAATTTGCACATAATGCAATTCTGAAGATCATTCTTTATTAGATCATTCTTTATTGCCACACAACAATAGTTGGTGGAATTTGCTAAAGCTCCTACCCTACATCCCCTGAAAAATCACTCATCCTTACCAAAATATGTTTACTGTACACCCTTACTGTAAACTCTGCACCCACTGATTTGGCCTTAACCAAGTGGATTGTACCTCTAAAATGAGTTAAGTATTACTGTAACACTAGACTCACAAAATAAAATTATGGTTAAAATGTACGGCTAGCAGACACTGTTCATTCACCACAATAATGTATTTGAAGGAGTGATTCAATGTGCCTCTACTAAGGTATCATGATCTTAAAAACAATAATTATAGTCCTGTTTTATACAGGTTTAAGTGTATGCATGCAAATCATGCACTATACCTGTATGTGAATCTGTACTTGTCTCTCCAAGTTTCAGCAAAATAACCCTATTATCTTTTAGCAAGAACATTCACAAAGATAAAGCATTTCATCAATTCATCAATTTCCCCACGGGATTAATAAAGTATTATCTATTTCTTCTGACTACAGTTCTGTTTTCTAAAGATTTTTTTCAGATTTACATTGTCTTTAAACCCTGTCTTAGAACTCATTTTCTGATTACTGTAGTAACATTGACTTAAACTGATCACTACTCTTATTGCATTTTCAGTGGAATCGATGTACTTTTTAAAACTTCTCTTGTCATACAGTAGGTTTGCATTTGAAAAGGGATTTTCAATATAGGCTATGATATTTACATTTTTAAGGTAGGAATTGGACGTCTAAAGTTCACATACTGTAAGTGGATTGCACTGGGTATAAAAGGATGTGTAAGCTGGGTAACACAGCAGCGAATCTGTCTGAGAGTGCATTTTAGGGCATGTATATCTGCGCGCCCAAGCATGTTTACTGTATGTGAGTGTGGCAGTGTGCTGTGAGTGTGCGTCACTGTGTTATCATGTCCCTGTGTGCATTGGTGAGAGAGCCCATGCACTCCTCTCTCTTTTTAACCTCTCTCTCCACTGTGGTTGGTGATTTGCAGGTAACGCTCCATCCAGCCAAAGCAAAAAAACCATAAAACAGAGATTCCTCAGACTGCTGCCCTGCTGTCGGCCCAGCTCCACTCCCTCAGTCAGTGAATGCAAGTGTCTTCATTTCCTTTTACTTCCACCCACCGACCTTGCACCTAGGCTAGGCAGGGCCTGAGTAAGGAATCTATAGCCTGCTGGGTTCTGCTCCTCCTAGAGTCTGCCCAGGAAATACTAAGTGGATTTAATTGACCTTTCTGTCACTTACAAGAAGAAATACTCATGCACACAAAAAGTTTACCTCAGTGAGTGTCCGCTTTTAAATGCACCTCACAGCTGAAGGTTTTGCACTTAAGGAAGTACAACATGATGATTCTGTAGACGCAGGGCTCGTGCAGTGAGCAATGAAAAAGTGTAAAGTCTCACTAATCTTGACAAGTGAGTTTTGAACAAAAAAATAAATCATCTGGTGCGAGCTGGGATGTGTGCCTTATTGACTGCTTATATTGCAGTGTGGAAGACAATAGCATGCTATCAGTGTACTATCAGTGACAAATATTTTGAATCACCTCAAAAAAACACAGTTGCTTTTGTATGGTTTCCTTTTCTGCATTTTGGTAGCATCCTGTGCATTATTTCATTCAGCTCAATATAGAATCATAGTAAAAAAATACTGTTTGAGTGGCTTCATTAACAGAAACTGACACTAAGTTCCTATTGAAAGGAAAAGTTTCTTAAACGGGAATATAGAGTCTTGTTTTATTATGTGCACTATATTTTTTTCAAATATGATAATTATTAGATCCAGGGTTCAGTGCACCATGGAGAAATGGACAAAATATTTTTAATACTGTACCAATAAGGGACACATAATGCAGTATGACTGTCAGAATGTGATAAGCATTTATCATAGAACATCTTAAAATGCTTTTGGTCATGTGTTGATGAATGTGTCATAAGTGAACATGGTGTTATGTTCACAACTCTTGTTTTGACCTTGGAATTGGCACAATGTTTCAGTTTCTAGGTGTTGCTGATGGAGAGAGGTGTCCGGTTTGTCATTGTTGCTAATGCTTTCATTTCCAAACCTGTAATCAGTGAGGCTTACTGAGAGCTGGCAGTAGAGGTCTGCCTTCACACATGTCAGTTCTTCATAGAGCAGCCTTTGATTAAAACCAAAGTAGACAAGAAAAGAAAAAATAATTGATTTTCACATTCCTACTTTTGTATATTCTGTATAGGTTTTTATAACCACATTCTGCAGGTGTGTTTAACCCTTAAGTACAGGTAGTACTGATGTGGAAATGAAGATAAACATATCTTTGATTGGAAACAATCATGTACAACTTGTGTAATTCCAGTGGACCAGAGTTATGTTAGCTGAAAAACTGGAGAAGAGAGAAAAGTGTTGCTATTGTGACTAGTGAAGAGTTTCACCAAAGCTGAGAGACTGGAGAAGAGTGTTGCTAATGAGACTAGAAGAGTTTCACCAAAGCTGAGAGACTGGTGAACTGGTTTGCTTTGTTTTTGTTTACCAAAAGCATGTGTAAACCTTATAGTCTTCATGCACAAAAGCTACAGTATCAGCATAACTGAACCGTGCTTCACTACATTTCACTGGGCTTCTGCTATGGTAGATCACTGTTAGGGGTCTGTGAGAAATACACTTTTTTCTTTTTTGTGAGGAGAATGAATTGTGCATTGTAATGTAGAAAGGAGGATATGAGTAGCAGCAAGACTCAAGATGGGGAACTTGTTTGGGCAATGTAGTACAGCTGGTAAGTTTATAACCTTGTAAGAGTTTTGTGAAAGAGTAATGTAGAGCAGAGTGTGATAACCATTAACACTAGCAGGCTGCATTTCTCAACAGAGATCTGTGGTAACGCGTACTTATCTCTTTCACAGACAGCATAGAGGACGACTTTGAGCTCTCCACTGTGTGCCACCGGCCAGAAGGCTTGGACAAGCTCCAGGAGCAGACGAAATTCACCAAGAAAGAGTTGCAGGTCCTCTACAGAGGCTTCAAAAACGTGAGGCTCTTTTCTTTCCCGACAAACTGCTGTGACTCTGATCTGTTGTTTTGTTCACAGTGTGATTTTATTTGATATGTACAGTATGTTTTAAAAAGTTGATTAATCAAACCAGACTGGTGGGTTTATTTTGTGAATTAATTTATTTTTGGATGATATTTGATATTAATTTGGGGTGATAATCATTCAAATTTGTTTGTGAATATTTGAATTGGTCTCTAAGCCAAGCTTCATGATTAGTTTTCAAACTTGTTGTTGCAAATGTCTTGACTTAATATTTGGTTGGCAAAATTAATACATATATTGATTGCTACAGCTTTGCTAATGCTCTGTTTTAGAAGTTGTTAGTAAAATGAATAACTTAATATTGGAGGTTCAAAGTATCTGGCTTTGGGAGAACAAACTACATACAGTATATCATATTCATTGTGCTTCCTCAAATATTATCCTAAATAATATTATGTAGTATTGTGATACTACATAATAATACTATAGTATTAGTGATTCATCTCACATAGTGTAATAGAATTGCTCCAATGATCTTAAGCCACCATATTGGTAATTGAGACAAACGGAAAAGGTATGTGATTTCATTTTGCAGTATCCATAATGCATTTCAAAGTGCTTTAGTTACAGGGATTAATTGACAATCCACATACTGTAATATGATGCAGTTTGGTTATTTAATAGAAATTATCCCACTTTTTTATTAATGTAAGAATTTAATGTTAATGTGAATGCTAAAGTCACCTGTTAATCCTGTAGTGCTGAAGAGAAGAAAACAGACCACTTCATTGGAAAATAAGTAAATTGATATGTGATAAAAATGTTTTTCAACTACTTTAAAGTACCATATATTTAGTTTGTTTAAAATGGGAAGAAAAAATGACACACATCACAATGGGTTTAAATATGTAAAACTTCATTGAGAAATACTTACCGATAATATACTGTACTATACATGATATTACCATTACCAACCCAAATTAAGTTTACATCCAATGTTTAAAGATTTATGTTTTGTGTTTTTAGTTGATGTAAAATCCTTGTTAATAACTTAAATATCATATATTAAAGATGTTCAGGTGGGTAGCCGCGTCAGCATGCATAGGCTGTAAAGGAACAAGTAATAGGTTTATTCCATGCTGAAAAGAGAAGAAAGAAAACACAATGTTTCGGCCATGGAGCCTTCTTCAGGTGTTTTCTTTCTTCTCTTTTCAGCATGGATTAAACCTATTACTTATCCATTAAAGATGATAGGTTGTAATTCATATAAGATGTTTGCATAAATAAATTATGCAGTAATGGAATACGTTTTTAAACTCGTGAAGTAAATTCAGAAATGGTTGCGGGTGCAGTGTGTATTGTCTGATCATGAGCTGACAGTACTGTCTCCTGCAGGAGTGTCCCAGTGGAGTGGTCAATGAGGACACCTTCAAACTGATCTATTCCCAGTTCTTCCCCCAGGGAGGTGAGTGTGTGTCTCCCTCTCCTTCTACGTCCCATGGATTAGCTGATGAAATTCTAAGATGGCAACAAACAAAAAAAATCCAACTTATGATATAAAAGTTCATTTGCACATGTGGTTAGTGGACACAAAAAGCCCTGTGTGACAAGGGTGTCCTGCTACAGTATGTTTGTTTTGTAAAGAAACAGTCTGTAGGTGATATCAGACTGCAGATCACTCCATTCATGTTACACCACTCTCTCTAAGAAGGATCGATCTCTCAGAAATTGCTGCAGTTAGAGTCCTGGATGCCTGGGTGCAAACCAAAACATTTGATTCCTAATCTTAAAAGTCTCTTTATTAACCCAGAGGAGTGACTAATTCCATGCAGAGTCTACCCAGACAACTCCTTACCCTCACATGGAATTTGAATCCCTCTGAATGCTACTCATTCACACCAGGTGTGCCTGATTCTATAGGTTATCTCACACAAAACCAGCTCTAAATGCTACAGTACTGTTTGTGCTAAGGGCAAAATGCAATGAAACATGGCACACAAGCTGTCAGCAAATGAGAGTGTGGCATAAGTATTTTTACTGTCCATCCATTGTCAGATGTAAAGTCTTAAAACTCACTTCATCAAAAAAAAGACTCAAACCCCTGCAGGATGAGCCTAATGGTCCTATCCTGGAAGATCCATTAGTCTCCCCCTGCCAAGCTGGAGGAGTGTAGTTAGGTGATGGTTTATTTATGCAACCACCTATTTAATGTATTAGTTGGTAGCCATGTTTATATATATAATTTATCTTTAACAATAATAAAGTTCATACAAAATTGATTCTTAATTGTATTCTGTGGTAAAAATATCAGAATTTGTCATTGATTCTAATACTGATGATGATGGTCAGAACCATCTTTACTTCCTGCTTTTTAAACTGTCATCTGACCAATTGCCTTCCAGCACCTGGTCAGATGACTGAGGGTAGCAGATAATTTCCCCCAGGTTCTCTGGAGAATGTGGTCCGCATCCAAGGGTTGCCCTCTTACACTTTTTATCAAAACAGATTTTTTAGACATGAATTTGAAATAAAATGAACATCTTGAAAATGTTGTAAAAATTGAAGAAATGCTTACAGATATTCACTAGCATTATGGAATGATTTGTGTGTCAAATGATGGATAGGTGGGTTTTAGGAGCCTGTCTGCTCTTCCTCATTCTTCCCATCTGGTTGCAGGGTTCATCATCATGAACCAAGACATAAAGACACTATTGGTGTGATGAATGCCAACCTCTGAGCCACAGAGTGTAGTCCTGAGCCACTATATCATTCATTTTAGGAGTGTGTGTTTCAGTGATAGGTCACGGTTAGCTTGTGAAACCCCTCCGGGCTCCTAAGATATACTGTACCAATTGTGCCTTTTTGTAGAAGCCTGCTCAGTGCCAAAAAACACTTATAGGCGTTTGCTCCTAAAAGGTCTTCAGTTCCCCTTCTCACATAGAACAACTCTTCAGTCCTTGATTCCACCGAGAGAGCTGGAACAGACAGATTACTGATAAACTCCTGAACTCTCCCTCTCCCTGAGGGATCCCTGACACGCTCAATCAGGCTCACCCTTCCACAGCCAGTCTGCCCTGTTCAATGTCTCTCCCGAAACCTACTGGAGCACCTCACCTACCACGCCCTGTTTCCAACTACAGTATAAACACTACTGATCTACTACACCACAGAGCCTACAGAAAAGTTCAACTAATCCAGGAATACAGTACAGTACACACTAGAAAGACTAGTGAATTCTCTCTGTAGATCTATATTTAATTACTAAATGCACCTGTAACAAAATCCTTGCAAGTCTTCCTTATCTCTTTCTGATTTCCCAAACCTAAACTGGACCTAGGACTGCCAGCTGAATACTGATGTTAAAGCAATCACTAACACTTTGCCTCCCCGAACTGCAGGAGCTTAGATTCAGCTCTCTCTGCCCTCTGCACCTGACTGCTGTTACACTGACTGCTGCTACTCCTAAGGAATGTCCCAATTAAGCACAGGCACTATCAAGTGATCTCTTTTCTGCCTGTACAATTCCATTCTACAGGAGTACAATCAGTCAATAAAGGCAGGTGTGTCCAATTAACTGCAGTGAAAGAAGAGGCTTTGACTAAGCCTTAGCTCTAACACAATTGTCAATTCCCAGTTGGGTGGGTTTATAATTAAGAAAGATACAATTCCTTTTTTCTTACAGATTCAAGTACATATGCACATTTCCTGTTTGAAGCCTTCGATACACACAAAAATGGATCTGTCAGTTTTGAGGTGAGATAAATATGTATCCATTAGGGAGCTGAAACTGTCAGGTTCCATAGTCGGAGGTGAGTCGTATTGTAGTTGGCAGTCTTCGGGCGAGGGTACTTCCAGCTGGAGATGGAAGAGAAATAATAATGTTTATGCAGAAAAGAGAGCTATCTACCATATCCTTGATCCATGATCCGAAAGTCGTAGTCAGGGTAAGATTTGAGTCCAAGAATGACAGAAAACAAAGGTATGTCTCAGGAGATTACAGGAACAATAGCTCTTCTTGGAAAACACAATACTGAGCACTGGCGAGCTAGTGGGCAGTCCTTAAGTACTCTGGTTGTAAGAGGTGTTGTGGAAAGTGGAACTGGTGATTGGTTAATTAGTTACAGTATGAGGTCTGGGCCTTCTCAAATTAACATGAGTAGAGGAGCATTTCTGGTTGCGGGGCCCTGATCTCGTGACAGAAACACATTGTGCTATTGCATTATTCCAGGATAATTGGAGGAGTGACTTCATCTATCATATTTGTGTTCTTGTATTACAGGATCTTACTGAAACTATTTTTTCAAAGTTTTTAAAGACTTTACTAAGGGAGTTAGAACATCAAACATACAGTATATATCAAAGTCAACATTTGTAAATTAATCTAGACTTACAGAAGTAAAAGGAATACTTAAATTAGGTTATTTTAAATCTGATGGCTGCATAAATGGAAGAAGTGTCAGACATGGCATATGTTTTACATTTTTGACAATAATCACAAGCACAACCTTCATTTTTCATTTATCAAACAATATTTTCATCCCTATCTTAAACTAGTCACAGTGAATTCTTGAGAAGTCAGTGAATTATCTATTTTATTGCACATGTTAATGCATTGTAACCTTCAAAATAATGCTAAATACTCTGATAGAATCACTCTGCTTGTCATAAAATGGCCGACAAGCTGTTCTTGTCTGTTCTAAATTAACTAAATTAACTTTCTCTCTCCTTACTGGCTCATGTGCTTTCCTTTGTGATTTTGCTGAGAATAAGAAGCTTGATTTTTTAAATTTTAAGATCTTCTGGTGTCTGCTGTCTCTCAGGACTTTGTCATGGGCCTGTCCATCATCCTCAGGGGCTCCATCAATGACCGACTTAACTGGGCTTTCAACCTTTATGATCTCAACAAAGATGGCTGCATTACCAAAGAGGTACTGTCGGCTCCTAAACTGTGATGGACAAGTCACACATTTTAGACAATAGATCTGTGTTTAACAACCCCTAGTCCATGAACCACTATCAGTCCCTGGAGTATTGCTGACTGGTTTCTGTTGTAACAATTACTGATCAAATTGTAGTTTTGCTCTGAGCCACTTTTAGGCCTCAAAGAAGGAGGTCCTCAGGGAGTTAGTCCCTTGTACAAGAAAAGGTTGAGAAACACTGTATTACATGACATTCCACTGATTTAATTGTCATACTGTAATCTTGATTGCCAGTTACATCTTCTTTAAAATATATGGTTCCAATACTCAATACTCATTTGTTGAGTTATTAATGCCTCTCAGTATATGAACATGAAATAGTAGCATAGGTTAATTTTTCTATTGGAGATTACCTCATAGGGTTTCTTGTGCATTGTTTCTGCAGGAGATGATGGACATAATGAAGTCTATCTATGACATGATGGGGAAGTACACCTACCCTTCCATGCAAGAGGATGCTCCCAGGGAACATGTGGAAAACTTCTTCCAGGTGTCACACCTCTCTTTACTTTGTCTTCCCTCTCCCCAACTACACTGTCACAGGCTGGACACAAGCAGCTCCTGGTTCAAAGGAAAATGCTGTAGGAAATAACCCCCCATTAGAACAAAGAGTTACCCACAAGAGTGTTCCACAAGATGATAGCAAAAGAGTGTTACATTATTATACAGATGATTTACTGTATGCTGTTCTTGTTGAAACTAAGAAATAAATAATGTACAATCAAATTCAGATTACAGCAACAAAAATAAGAATTTTTGGTTTTTGCCAATCTGGATCGATGAATGCAGAGCTCCAATTTTAAATCAGATGTTGTGAGCCGATCACAAAATATGTATTAATCAGTTAAATCTAAAATCAGTTTGCCAGTTTCTACCTTTAGTAGTGTTCAAAACATCAAAGAACAGATTATGACATGTACAGTACAATACAATAGCAATTCACCATTCTTTACTTCATATAGTACATTATTCAGGCTCAGAAAATGTCCAGACTGCACATGACAAAGCCATTATTTAAAAAATCAACAACAAATGACGTTCTAGTTAAAAATGTAATTGGCCTTGTTTTTTTATCTGTTAAAAATGGCTAACTCCCTTTGAATGCGCAGTAGTCAGCTGTGTAATGTAGCACTTTGCCAGTCTCATTAACTTGCAGCTCCAATCAAGAGTCATCCACAAAGAAACCAGTTTTGCAGAGTGCAGGAAGCAGCACAAAAAATGTCCTTCCAGCAAACTTGAATCAGAATTAATCTCACAACCATCAACAACCATGATGAATTCCCAGGTGCTCACTCCAGTGGGTGGCAGGCAACTTCTGAAGCTGCTGCATTTGTTGAGCTGTTACACAGATTCTATACAGTACACCCACTTCACATGTTTAATGCCAGCAATGGGTAGGGCAGAGTCAGTAATCTCCTTGGCACATCAGTATCCAGACTGACTGCTGGGAGATTACAACGAAGGTAATGAAAACAGGGCCAGTTAGTGGATGTTTTTGTCCTTGAATATCTTTTCCAGTGCCCCAGTGGCAAACAGTCTAAACCAGTGCAACACATCCCGGAACAACGTTACTAAATCTGCTGAATTAAAGGACTAAAGAGCTATGTCAAGGTTTGTTGATGCCACAACTCTGAGGCAACAAGATTATTAACGACTAACATTATTAACGACTAATGTTCTTTATAGAACATTCTATCTATAAAGCAGTCATTTTTATCTCTGTAATCTAGCCTTCTTCTGCTTTACCACTTCCAGTTGTGGTATTGTCCCTGAGACTGATTTTCCCCACCCCCTGCACTGTTCTACAGAAGCCCCTAAAATATCTCTGACAATCAGCTGTCCTAGATCTGCATTATTAAATATAAGAACTGTTGTAGGGTGTGTTGCAGGACGTCAGTTTAGGTATGCCAAACATTTGGGGTCATTCAGTTCTGTAAGCACTCTCTGAAGCTCATTAGCAAGGTTTACTATTTCTAAAGAAGAGAATATAATCGACAGAAAGTGTCCTTGATAAATATTTCCTTTCACTGGAAGCAGGTGCTTAGAGCACCATGGAATTTCAGAGTGCCAGAGAAGGTACAATCTAACAAATTGATTTTTTCAATAAAATGTAAGTTGAACATAAAATGCTTTCAAGCATGTTTCACAAATAAATGTTTTTTTCTTGGTTAAATACATGATACCAGCATTGAACCTTAGGAGAATTTAGGTTACTAAGATTATAATTAATTATCTTAGTTAAGATGTCCCAAATAAACAATACTATCAAATATGGACTTGTTAGGAATGACAGATCTGAATTAAGTGGAAAATCTAGTTTGGGCTAGTTTGAGCCAATACGGAATTTACCAAAGTTAACATTCATTTACATTCATCATTTTGTAACACTCACAAGGAGAGGTGTAACTTCCATTTAACAACTTCTCCACCTCCTACTGCACCGTGTCCTCTGTTGCTAGACAGGGGCATTGGACTAAAGATTTCAGGCCACAGGAAAACCATTCCAACTATTAGTGTTCCAACAGCTTCAATAGGAGCAACATGGTTTTCCTTAAACATCTCCCATTACAGTGCTAACCAGGCCCAGCCTTGCTGAGCTTCTGAGCTCTGGCTACAGGCGTAATGCTACTGTTGACATTCCCCAGTCTCCTCTATGACTGTGCCATAAATGAGCGCTACAAAAACCTGCAGCCAATTTGCAGATTTTGCAACACTTTTTCCCAAAGATATAAAATGTAGATGTATCCATTTCTTCACAGATCTGGAAGGAGAACTCCCGAGCACCCACTGCATTATTGTTTCCAACTGATCTAATAGCCCACTCCTTTTTATTTGGAATTAACTTTTTTGTAACGAAAACGTTCTTTCCGGACCCTATGCGGACAACACAATCCGGAGTTGAGTGAGAATACACGAGGGAAAAAAGGCATGCAGGAAGTGGTGATGAAAACAGGGGGACGTGTCCATGAAGTGCTGGTGGTCGGGGGAGGTGTGGCCGAGGCAAGCGATCCAAAACAGAGTCCAATGCGAAATCCAGGACGAAAGCAAAAGGTCCAAAGCCGGTTAAAAACAGGAACCGGGTCGGAACCGGCAGGGGGAACGGGAACAGGAACAGAAACTTAAAACCATAACAGAGCCAGGCTATTCCAGGTCCCGGGCTCGCACTTTACGGTAATCAATGCAGAGCCCCGAACTGAGTGGGCGTCTGGCTTTTAAGGGGGACTGGAAGGAGGCTGGAACAAGCGACAGGAGCACAAAATCAGGTCCGAAGTGAAAGAGCCGGAGCGCCCTTAAGGATGAGGGACTACAATCGTGACATTTTTAACAGCTGTTCTGTTGGGATGGACATTAGGATCACCACCCCCAGCATCCACATGGAGTCTATTATGCCTTATGTGATGCTTTCAGTGAAAGGCTGAATCTGTACTTCTCCTGCATCCCAGTCACAGAGAAGAAAAAAAGTTATTTCTATCTTTAATCTTTCCAACACACCATCTTAAAGTCTCATCAGATCAGTTCAGTTCAGTAAAGATCAGTTCAAATGCCAATAGAAGGTGTCACTATACTAATGAGATAATTATAAAGTATATCAAAAGCAATACTTTCATCTCATTGTCCATGTGAACTGTCCATGTGAACTGAATCCATGTGAACTGTATCATCTACCTACGTTTTTTGCAAAAAGTCGATTTTCCTAGCTAAGTAAAGTCGAGCCACACTCTTTCAAAATAATCTTTTCCCCATTTATATTTTGACTCCCACTATTAAAAAGATCTCTGCTCTAAAATGGTTCAGTAGGCAACAGGATGAATCTCTTACCAAGAGAATCATACTGCTTGACTGGAGAAAAACACCCCTAATGTTACTGCCTTTTTTCCACAACCTATGGAACAAGATCAGTTTTGGTCAGAAACACTGCAATCAATCAGCTTAGGACAGGAAGAAAAGCAACAACACTTTCAAATAACTTTTAACTAAACACAATCAGTGTAAAGAGAAAAACACACTTCACATCTGACTTGCCATTCAGCATTCACCTTGACAAACAGGCAGACAGACACTGTACCATTGAATGAATTAGTCAGTGTACCGGAACAGGTTATTGCAAAGTCACTTTATTTCATTTTTTTTTCCTTTAGAAAATGGACCGGAATAATGATGGAGTGGTGACTATTGAAGAATTCATTGAATCATGTCAAAAGGTAAGTGGCCACTATTGCAGGGAGAAAACACACCTGAAAGTAATAATTCTAACATTTTTCTTGGTTTTTATTTTATTCATATTATCAAAGTTATTGGATAGGAATGCAGGATACTGTTTAATGGAGCCTTCTGAAATGGCTTGTGCAAGCATAATGAGAAAATACAAAAAATAGCTACAGTGCTGAGAAAAAGACACTGATTTTCAGATGTTTCACATATCTGAAACCTAAAATGTTGTTAGGTCCTGATTTAAATCCTAATAAAAAAAAGTTAATCTGATTAAATAAATGATGAAAAGTCATGTGGTGGTAGCACCCCCTTAAGTAGCAATGACTGCAACAAAACATTTCTGGTACTGTAACCATTGATCACTTTCTCACGTTGCTTTTGAAGAATTTTGGCACATTCCTCCTTATAGGACTCCTTCAAATCTGTGACTTTTGAGGGCTGCCTTCCAAGGACAGTTCACGTCAGGTCCTGCCACAACATTTCTAGGGGGTTTAGATCAGGACTTTGACTAGGCAATTGACAATGCAGATTTTCTTCCACTGCAGCTATTCTTCTGTAGATCTGCTTGAATGTTTAGGATCACTGTCTTGCTGCAAGAACCACTTTAATCTAAGCTTCTGGTTATGTTTGGATGGCCTGACATTCTCCTCTAGAATCTTCTGTTACAATGCAGAGTTCATAGTTGTGTCAATGATGGCAAACCATTCAGGTCCTGAGTCAACAAAGCAGTCCTAAACCATCACACTCCCACCACCATGCCTGACTGTTGGAATGAGGTCCTTCTGTTTGAAAGCGAATGTTATTGCAGATGCCTTGTGGATAATATGTGCTCATGGCAAACTGCAGATGGGCTGCAATGTTTATTTTTGATCTTGGTTTTTGCTTTGCTATCCTTCCATGAACACCATTATTCCAACCATCCATACATTTTCTAACACTAGGGACAGATTTCCCAAAAGCCAATTAACTTACCAGCATGTCTTTGGACTGCTGGAGGAAACCAGAGCACCCAGAGGAAACCCAAGCAAACAAAGGGAGAACACATCCCAGATATTTTACCCCAGCAGGGCCCCAATAAAGCAAAGCAGCAATGCTAAACACTATGCCACTATGACACCTGCAATACCATTCTTTTTCAGTCATTGTCTGATAGATGAGTCATTAACAGTCACATTAACTAAGGTAAGAGCGGCTTGCAGTTCCTTGGATTTAACTGTGGGATTCTTTTCAACTTCCTTGATTATTTTTTGGTTTGTTCTTGGAAATATTTTGATAGGATAACTGCTTCTGGGGGCCAGTAGCCCCATGGTCTGTGTAGGTCCTAATGCCCCAGTATAGTGATGGGGACACTATACTGTAAAAAGGCACCATCCATCGGATGAGACATGAAACCAAGCTCCTGACTATCTGTGGTCATTAACAATCCCTGGGTATTTCTCAAAAAGGTAGGGGTGTTACCCTGACACCCTGGCCAAATTTCCCCTTGGCCTTTACTAATCATGGCCTCCTAATAATCCCCATCTATGAACTGGCTTCATCACTCTGTTTTCCTCCCCACTGATACCTGATGTGTGGTGAGTGTACTGGTGCACTATGGCTATGGTATATGATCCAGGTGGAGCTGCACATTGGTGGTGGTGGAGGGGATCCCCATTTCCTGTAGCAATTTGAATGTCCAGAAAAGCACTATATAAATTTAAGGATATTATTATTATAAATCATATGGTATAAATCTTTTCTATGCTGATGATACTCAAATCTATGTCCATACTAAACCTGACATTGAAGTAACTGTCTCTCTCTGCATCTTTGATATAAAAACTGGGATGACTTTAAATTTCCTTCACGTAAAGTGAAAAATGACTGTGGTCATGCTACTTGGCACCTTCCATCATCAACATGTGATTGAATTTAATCAAAATTAAAGAATTTATAGGTGGTATTCAATCTTGGCTTGACTTTTAACCCTCATGAGCAGAGTATTGTAAACACTTCATTCTTCCACCACAGAAACATCACCAAACCGCATCCTATGTTGTGTTTGACTGTTTCAGAAAGCCTTGTCGACATGTTTTTTTTCTTGAATTGATTACTGTAATGCCCTTCTCAATGGGGCAACTAGATCCACGCTGAACAAACTCCAATATGTTCAGATTTGGCAGCCAGAATCCCAATCAGGTTGTGTGCAAGTGATGACATTACGATTGTCTTAGAGTCCTTGTCCTGGCGTCCTAACCAATTCTCGAGTCAACTTCAGAAACCTCAAGCTCACCTATAACAGACGTTTACATTGCCACTTAAATACTGTATCTGACTTACTACTGTATATTCACTTTCTTGTAGCCTTTGTTTGTGTGACTCTGGTCTTCTGGATGTCCCTCAAGGTCATTTACATTCTATGGGTGTCATGGCCGTCTCTTGCCCCAGAGCTCTGGAATTCTAATCCCAAGAATATCAGAGTCACCATTCTTGCTCTTGCTCTTGCTCTGATCAGTGTAAAACGTATGAAAATGCCATGTTGAACTTTGGGGTTCACAAACTTTTTCTCTGCACTGTAAACCCGACTAAAAAACATTCCCTAAGGTCTGTTTCAGCTCTGATGTTTCATGGCTGACATTAAGATATCCAAATGTGTCACTGAATGGTGCCTATAAGACAGTACATCATTTTACTTCAGTTCTATATTGCAGTATGTGGTGATGCAAATGATGTCTGGAATTGAACTTCATGTTTTACCAGTTTTCAACAAGATTAGTATTAATCTGATCAGAGTAGGTCATCTGTCCCATGTTTTTGCAAGACCACTATGCACCTGCCATTCACAGAGAAAGCCCTGGTGTCATTGGGTGGGTTTTCTTTGTGGCACATCTTGTTGCCAATAGCTTACTTGGGTGCTCTGCCATGGGCTTATGAGCCACATAAAGAACATACAAGAACCTATAGCATTCATTACCCTGTATACCCATACAGGAACAGAGGGGTGTTTGTTGTAAACTGAGAGGCAGAGTATGTGGTTGTACTAAGTGAAATGACACTAAACGTAAAGAAATGTGAAGATAATTTAACGAGAAATGGAACTAATGAGTTTGGACATTTTCCTTTAGTAGTGCCCAAGAAATTCTGTGTTTCTCTATACATGTACTTTACAGTATGATAGTTTAATTGTGATTTTTGTGTCCTTTCACCATCTCCGTAGGATGAGAACATCATGCGGTCCATGCAGCTGTTTGACAATGTGATTTAGTGAGCGTGCTCTTGGAGGCAGAGGTGCTCGTACGGACTGGACTCCCTGATGCTTCACCAGCACCCTGTCCGACTGGCCAGAGCCAAGGGCGCACTTTGGGTTTTTGTTTCTTTCTTTACCCTGGAAATGTGAAGGAAGGGATGTGAAGGGAACAGACTGGTTTAAAAGTCAGAAAAGGCAACGGAAATATGTAGTTGTTTGTTTTTTTTCAAAGCAGTCGTTTTTGAGCTGGACTTCAGAGGCCTTCCTTGTGTTGAGGTGGTGATACCAGCTCTACAGTACAAACTGCAGAAACTTTGAAGGAGTGGGAAACAAAAAACCAAACAACCAGGATGTAATCTGAATGCGCTGCAGACAACAGCAATTTCACATTAACTGTTTTTCTAATCGCATGTCCACGCCTCTAACCTACACTCTTCAAAATATTTATAAGAATTACTCCAAAGCCTGCCTGATGTTTCTGTGTGTTTATTTACAGGTGCCTCGTCTTGTCCTACATCTGTCCTATCAGATTCTATTGTTATTTCTGTGGCTGAATCTAACAACCCCCTTCTCTCCCACAGAGGACTTTTCTACCATTTTAACGAATGGTTATATGTGCTGAGACATTCCAGAGAGCTCCTGCTAAACAGGTGGATCTGCAGTTTCACTCTATAGCTCATGCTGTGGTTGTTCTACCTTCAGTTTGAAAACTGTAGTCACAATCTGGAGACAGTTTTCATTCCCAACATCGTGAAATATTGTGGGACTAAGGCTGACTATTCAGAAATTACTGTGTGTCTATAAAGTGGTATTAATATGCCATGCATACGTCCACTGACAGAACCAGGAACATGAAATAAACTGTTCAAGTCCATCCATTTGTTCATTGAGCTCTAAAGTAAAACTTACATGACACTATTGACCATAGCAGAGATCAGCTGGTGTTGCTCTGTTGATTGAATAAACTTGAGGTGGTAATATAAAGGAAAACGTACTCAGATTAAAAAATTAAAAAACGTATTGTTTGTGAAGTTGCCTGGCTTGCCTGCTATTTATTTTGAATTATTTTAGACATTTAATTTATCATCAACTATTTTCACATGTCATCAGAGAGTTGCTTCAGAACATGGAAAACACTTCTCCATGGGATTGTATGGAGTGATGTATTAACTACTGTACTGTACGTTGAAATGGAGCTTAGTATGGGAGATAAAGACTCTTTGACTGTTTACTGGTTTATAGGAAGTGGGCCCTTGATTGTGGCCACCACTCTGATTGCAGACTGGCCATACAGTCTAGAGTTCGGACTTGCAGTCTGGGATGTTTTTTTGTTAGCCAATAGAGAACTAGAACTGCAGGAACCAGACTGTTCTGTGCTGCCAGGGATCTTGAAGTTCTGTTTTACTGAGTAGGCATCTCTGAGTTGGTCGTCTCAACATTGAGAACTTTAGCTGTGCATTTGATGTCACACAAGACTGTAGCTCTGTTGTTTGTGCTGTGGGCACAGTAGCTAGACAGAGCCCAATGAATTACTCCTGGGGTTGTATGAGGGTTATATGAGGTACAGGGGTACACAATTACCTGGTTTATTAACCATTGGAAGCTATCAATGGAAATCTACCTTACAATTCCAAGACAAAGACCAACTACGCATAAACTGCATGTGTCTTTGTGACAAGTAATACAGTAAGTCACATAAACCTGCACCACAGTAAGTGGTCCAAAGAAGACAAAGCTCAAAATAACCAGATACAAAGGAGTGAGATGATTTTGTTGTGCTATATGACTTGACTCACAGTTGCCCTCTACAGTTTGCAATATATAAAAAGTACATGTATTAAATACACTGCACAGCCTACAGCATACTGTACCAAAACACTATGTATATTATATAGTATAGTGACAGGATATACACACAGGATAAACAGTATGTGAGAAGTGGTGATACAACCTTGGGATACACATTATAGATCTAAAGGAATCAAGTCAATACACATTTGTATTAGGCCTTAACTGCCATGGCCTCAACAACAAAGAAAATAAATCTGCTTCCTCCTAACTGCAAATACGTTGTATAAAACATGTACTGTAGTTCTGGATACTTTCATGCTTATCCTAGAAGAGAACTGTTTCTGCTACAGTATGGGAGCAAACAATTCAGTGGGAAGGAGCTTGTGACTGGAAATTTCATCCTATTTCAAATCTGTACTTTGAGGCCTGTGTGATTTCTTATTTAATATGACCATTATAAACAGTATACGCAATTTGTATTTGTTAGGGGGGGTTGAATCCCAGAGTTGTATTTTTATAGGTTTTGTTTAACAGTTCTTATTGTGTTATTGCTTTCATTTTTCGTTTTTCCTTTTGTACTTGTACTTGTGGAAGCAAATTTGCATGAGTCATAGACTGGCTGTAAATACTATTTAATGAGAAAGCAAAAACATTGCATGTGGATGTTCCCAAGGATAAGATCAGGCCAGTCTACCCACTAGGTATTGCTGTTTCCTGTACAATGTGACTCCATCCAAGCACCAGGCTGAGTTCTGTAAGATCTCACAATACAAGCCTGCACAATGTGATCTTTCTATGTATTTTAATGCACCAACAACTCCAAGTAAAAAAATTCTGGTTCAGAATCTAAATTCTGTGCATGTTCTCCTATGCTGACTGCCAAATCTATTTTTAAATAACTTGACTCAAGTTCATTTCCTTCAAAAAAAGATCTTTGATCTTCTTTGGCTCTGCTGGATACTTAAGACTGAAAAGACGGTTTCTTCAGTTTGTATACAAGTCGTGACTTGGATCGCTGGGATGGACCTCTTAGCTGCTTTGGTCTGTAAATAAGATGATGCAGAGCGAAACACTTGATATTGATAGAACTGCTTCTGGTAAGGAAGTGCCTGGCAGCATGTCATTTAAACCAGATACGACAGAATAACTCCCATGCAAAACTTAATCCTTCAGCTATAACCTTCAGAATCACCACCAGGTGAGCAGCTTGGCTGTTTGTGTGGAAGTAGTCAGAGAGCTGCCTCTGCTCAGCCTAATGCAATAGGTGAAACTGAAGCAATGAGAGCATTTCTGATTGTCACGTTGAAATGGTTAAGTTGTTCTAGTTCTTTTGCAAGGAGAAAGGAAGGTTTTGCTCTCTGTCCAAGTCTTCTCTTGCATAATTTCAAAACTAAGGCAGGTTATTAAAGACACCTCTCAACTGACTGTTGCATCTCATTTTAATTAATTAGTTACATTGCAAGGGGACATCATGGCAATACGATAGCTGCTTATGATATTGTAAATACAAGTTTAAAATTAATTTAGATCTTTTCATTATTTATATTTTCTTCTTGTTACCACCCTATGTTTTTAGTTTTGCTGTTATTTATCCTAGCTCAATATACTGTATCACTCTAGCCAATTAAATAATTTCAGGAATTACTCACATGATGAGGGAGAAAATGTTAAACTTAGAGCAATATTATAAGGAGAAGAACAGCAACAGGTAAACTGCAGAACCAATTTTAAAAAATGTATATATTTAGATAGATTTTATAATCGCCATGCTCATGCTCTTAAGAATGTGAATCAGATTTTCTTGCGTTGCGTAAAATAAAATTTTGTTCACAATAAAAAGTGTGAATCAGACACTCTATTACAGAGATCCTTAATCCTGGGGATGGAGTCACTTTAACGCAACAGGGTTATAATTACTATCCGTTAGGCTAATTGATCTCTATTGACCTGTTTTTCAGCTTTTAAGATGTTGGAAAAAGTTAGTAATTAGCATCAACCCTAAACCAGTTTCCTCGTACTTCCCCATTCAAATGTGTGAAATTTAAGCAACTGGATATCTGCAGAATGCTGTCAAAATGTCATTTCCACTTTTAACTTTCCTCCAGCTGTTATTTCCATTAATTGGTCCCCTGTTAAGATTCATTTAGACAGAAATAAAAGATCGGCTATTTGATATGTATGTTGAAGATAGAGTGGATGGACTACTTCCTCTCAGCATGGAGTGTTTGCAGGAGTGAATGGAGATGCTTAATGCAACCCCATGCTGAATATCTCCACAACAGAGCAGCAGAAGTAGTTTTGAATCCAGATCCAAAGACTGCAGAGATATTTTAAAAACGGTCTAACTAAGCAAGACATTCAATTAGAGATATTGATTAGTCCCAGTAATAAAGAGTCCCTTTGAATCAAAAATTAAAAGAGACAGGAGTTTTCCAGGACAGGGAATGAGAACCTCTGATGTAACATGCTCAACAAAGGAATCCAAGTGAAGCACGAAAAAGGAACTCAAGCAATAACCTCGGCTGTCTGGACCTGTTCATGACTTGATGGTTTGTGAGTGTTGTGTAACTACTCACAGGGAAATCCAATAATATCATCACCCCCCGATGAAAATAGTAACAGTGCGGCTACTGTATGACCAAAGTTAACTTCAAGACCACCAATCAGGAAATAACTCTATGCTTGATGGAGGGTTTAGGTACAAGACACCAGTGGCACAGAGAAAGCAACAATCAGCTGACATTTCTGGAATTTGCAATTAACAAAAAGTCTGATTTATACTGCTGTATAATATGCAATAGTGCTATAGTTAAAAAAGCACATGCTGTGCTTAAGATGGGGGGAAAAAGTACCAGAGACATACACTTCTGTTGTTGCTGCTCTACATTATATCAGTTAAATTATTGCACTGTTGGTTTGTTTATTGTATATTGTTGTATAGGGGCATTATCATTCTAGGTCTTTCATCTAAAAATGCTGGTCCATGGGCATCTTCATCTTCTCAAAGATGGAGGACAAGTGTTCAAAATGCACTTGTTTTCTGTTTCATCCAATTCAGGGTCTTTGGGAGCCTAAGGCTATTCAATAAGCAACAGGCACAAGGCACCCTGGACAGAACAGTAGTCCTTCACAGGACACACACAGACAGAACACAAACATATAGATGAGAGCGTATTTTGTCAGACCATCTGAAGGAAATTCACACAAATACGGGGAGAACATACAAACTCCACACAAGTAGCACCCCAGGTCTCAAAATTGTACCCAGGGCCCCAGCATTGCAAAGCAGCAATGCTAATCACTGTACCACCATGCTGCCCAGATGCATTTTCAGACTGTTACATGTCTCCAGAATCTTGGATGTTTTTTGGAAAGTTGTTCTTAACAGAAGACAAGAAACACCAACATCAATCAACATGATATTTAGTTTATATAACAACATTAGCACACAGTTAAAATGTAGACAGCTCTTTTTAGCCCATGCCAAAGTGATCATCTTTTAGTTTAGCTGGTTTGAAAGTAAAGCTTCTAACTGAATCATACAGTATAGTTACAGTAGGTCAGTATGAAAATAAACAGCTTGTGCAAAGTTGTTTTCCTCAGTTAATATGCACAGCCTTGTCACGCTAGAAAACTCTTAATCCTGACTCAATACATAATACAATGTGTAATAAATAACTCAATTTCTTAGTGTTTATAAAAAGTGGATTTTTATTAATAGTCGGCTGAATTGTCTATTTTCAATTGTATGGGAATGGTTTATAGAATACTGCTAAAACTGCAGTGTATCTCAGCTTGATAAACATCACAGCCTTGAACCTGTTTAACTGAAGCAGGAAATGACAGCTGTTTGACTTTCATCTTCGAGACCTGAGACAGAGCTCGGCTATCTTCACAATGTCCTAACCTGTCGAAGGCCGAGTCATTGGCCACAGGCTGTCAGAAAAGTTTACAATGAGACGTCACTTCATTTTAAGGGTGTCACAAATCATGCTTGAAGTGAACATACTGTGGACCTTTTATTTCACTGCTAACATCAAACGAATCGGGAGCTGCTGAATTTTCTAAATGGATGATACTATTTATAACACTTTCTATCAGTGGGGCTGAGGAATCAAATGCAAAGCAGACACCCAAGCGAGAAATAATAGGCTGTGTAATAGGAAATGGGTTGTGTATATGTATTCCTCCCTGGCTTTGTTTTTGAGAAATTGTTCTGAATGCTTCTTTACCATAGCTAATTTCTAATAATGGCAACAAAAATCCCTGTCTATATACGCATGAACTGTCTGTAACAATGAAAACAAATAACTCATTGTATTTAACGTGTCTAGTTGGCTAGTCTCCACTGGCTGCTTTGCATTTCTAACATGTATATTTTGTACAGAGACAAAAATAAATTCACAGTTGCTATGCATCACTGAATTCACTTTATTATTATTAATGTGTAATGATAAGCTTGAATAGGCCGTGCAGTTTCGTCTTTTTATTCACAATGAATGGATTTAAATCTCGCAATAAATACATGTCAAATACACTGGATAAATAATAGGAGACCAGAACAATAGCTAAGGTAAGAGAAAATAAAAGGAAAATGCCATTTGGTTGTTTATCCAATTTTATAAACATCTACTATCTGTATGTCACAATCAAATGTTTCAATAAATCCTGAGTTTGCAGACTGAAGAGATCAGGCCCTAAGATACAGTTTACAGGTTTTGAATTCTTTTATCATTCGACTTAATGATTTGAATTTTATATAGTGGCTTTTTTTTCATCCTAAGTAAAGCCAAAGCACTTTACATATAAGAGGCACACACTTCACCCACTGCTCAAGAGCAACACCAATTGCGTGCCAGTTCAGTTGTTTGGTCTAATGATGAGACAAGCCAATGGATATGAAGATATCGCCTACAGTACCTATCACCTTAGTTTTAAAACCCCTGGCTGAGGAAATAACAACACTGGTCACAAAGCATGTGGAGCTCCATGTTTAGCCAGGGAGCTAATATTTGTAGGCAAGCAAATGTGAAAGATAGGAATTTGACCTCCACCCAAACATCTGTTCAATAACACCATCAGTCCGACTACAAAGATCAGATTGGGTGGAGAAGTGAGAAATTGCATCACCAATTGAATTAAGGAGGAACTCAAGGGAGGATAGATTGTGCAAGCTTTAAGTAAGATTTAGCCAGGACACCAGGGTTAATCACTGCAGACATGGTTCTTTAATGATCACGGACCACGGTATGGTGTCTCTTCCAAAGGATGGCACCTTCTATAGCACAGTGTCCTATGTCACAATACCAGTGCTTTGTAAATGCGAGAAGGATGGAAGAGGCACATTTATTGGTCCACTTATATCACTAACATTAAACCTTTAACTGTAAAAATACAGTAATGATCTAGTAATGATGAATAACTTTGCACTTAATAATAAACTTATTTTCTACACCAGAAAATCTCTGTCACTCTAGTTTCAAACACAGCAATACTGTAGAATGCAAGACTGAGATTTAAAAATTTTAATTATAGAAACAAATGTAATCTGAACAAGTAGGGAACGTAGTCAAGGACAGTGCAGTCCTGAAGCAATGAGGTATCACTTTCCACAATAGGTATGACAGAGAGGAGAATTAATGGCAGAGGTAGGAGAAGGAAGATAGAACAGTTAAGAGACCAGCACAACATGAGTAGAGATGACAAAACAGGATAAAATATATGTGATGTAGTGAGTGTTGGGGAAGCTTCCATCATGGCTCAAAGCTCAGACTATAGTGTGGCCACAAGCCAAGATGGTCAATGTTTAATTGGGAAATACTTAGAATCAGCCACACTTGAGAGG